ATCGTGCACTAGCAGAATCTAAGACCTGTCTCTTATACACATCTAGATGTGTATAAGAGACAGCCTCTGGATGGCTTGCTGCGGGGCCATTGATAAAGGCACATTTTTGCGAAGGAGCCCCTCTAGCTTCAATTACCTCTCCAGTTCGGTGGTGTTCCCCTTCAGTGGAACTAACGGGGTCTCACAGGAAGGTATGGGGAGATGGTTAGGCACAGCCTTCCACTCGCTTTGGTGCTATAAGCGTTCATGCTTCCATCTCAACTGCGACTGCAGGTGTAGATTATGTGGTTCCGCGGAGAACCTCCAGCGCGAACACCTACTACAATGTGAGTGGGTTGTAGGGGACTTTGTCTCCTTTGACGCTTCGGCTCTTCTAAATTTGGAGAGAGCGTTAATTGCTACCCTGCCACCGGGTTGAAAAAAAAAAAATAAATAAATAAATAAATAAATAAAAAAATAATAATAATAATAATAATAATCGATCCTTTGTCATCAGGTTGTTTTAGCTCTTTTCTTCTTGTGAAGAATGTATTCAATTTTTGAATAAAACGTTACACAATAAATAAAATTATTATTATTATTATTATTATTATTATTATTATTATTATATATTAAATAATGAATTATATGTTATAATTTTGTTAAATAATGAAAGTACATTTGGCGCCTCATAGTTATTACGCAGAGTTATCGCCATCTTGATTTTTAGGTTTAAGTTGGGTTTATAGTCGATGAAATGTCTATTTAGTGTGGGTTGTGGAAACACCTTGTTACAAGTAATAAATATTGTGTAAATTTGGTAACAGGGTAAGTATATATATATATATATATATATGTTAATAATATTATTAATACCGGTACTAATAAGAATTAAGGCCTGTTTAGGACTCTATAATCTGACCTATCATGACGAGGTGTTTAATCACGACTATCATCGGTCATTATTTCCACGATATTGGTTCTAGGCCATCAGCTGTAATCTGTATCGTTCAGTTCTGCCCCAGTAACAGATGGACCAGCTGATTTTTGTGTAAATCGGTAGAGCATATATTAATTAAGGCTGAGCAAAATTTTCTCAAACAGCTTCTAATCCAAACGTATTTTAATAATTTTTTTGTTAACGAACTAGGCCTATTTAGAATTTGTCGCGATGCGTGAATAGTCGCCATTGCAAAAGCTATCAATCACAAATCAAATCAAATCAAGTCACATGATCAATCATTGATCATGTGACTTGATTTGACCAATCCCAAAACAAATTAAACTACGATTGAGGGCGCATTATGAGAACAACAAAGATGGCGACCCACAGGCAGTCGCACGATCCACCACCTGGAAGTGGTAAAAAATATGTAACCAAAGGGATAAATCCAAAGAATCTTCGCTGCACAATGCATTTTGATGATGTTCCGTCAAGCGGGGTACAACCTTTTACAAAGACAAGATGGAATACATTTAGAATGTGCGTAAAACAATGAAAAGATTTGGAAAGCCATGAATGTACTCTGGCCGAGCCGAGTCGTCGATAGATTTGCTGGCGTGTAAATTTAGTAATCAGTATTAGGCTAGTATAGGCCTAGTAGCCTAGGCCTAGATGATGATACTAACTTACAAATCGGATACCACCCTACGTGCTACAGGCGATTTATTTATTAATAAAAGAAAAATTGAATTTGCTAGCAAAAAATACAAAAATCGTGCACTAGCAGAATCTAAGACAGAATAATGATGATCTTCTAGCCTAAACCTTCGCCAAAGAAATCGAAACTGAGGTCAGCATCGTCGATCGAGTTTACCAACGTAATCATCACACACCCGAGTATTACCTAAAGTTTGCATAATATATAAGAAGCTAAAACGTTTGACTATGGTTCGTCGCAAAAGACAAACGGATCTCATGCCGAAACAAAAGCCGGAGGTAAACTTTATTAAATAGAAATATATATATGTATATATATATATAGGCCTATAGGCCTAGAATAGCCTACATTTTTTTAAAGCCTAGGCCTGGTATGACAATAATTATAATTAAGTCGACCATTACGAATTCCACCATCACCACCCTGGATATTATTCTAGCTTTGATGATTTCTGACCTTGTAATGCATTCCTGCATAAGTTTTTTTCTTAATTTGGTTATCCTAGTTACAGCATAGTTACAGATGCCAATCAATAAAATGTAATACTATGTAGGGCTAGGCGACCATACGGTTTAATCATGACAAACTCCCTCCAAACCTGAATATAATATATCTATCATTAAAATGAATTTTATATTTTTACTTTTGTTTAGGTGTACTATTACAAGCAGCCAAGCTAAAAGCAGATGAGTCAATTTTCATGCATATTCAAGAAGGGGATTCTGTTGCCCTTGAAGACCATTACAAGATTCAATTGTTGCAGTTCTATCTAGAAGGATTTGTTTGCCAACTATATGGCGTAAAGACATCTGATGTAAATGTTGCCAGATACAAAGTTTTCTGTACCTCCTCGTCTTCAAAACAGAGTCTTCCTCTAACAAAAGATGCACTTTTACAGCATTGTAAGCGGTCTAATTACCCAACTTCTATTCATCGCAAGTCATTAAGTGCAAAAATTAATCCACCATCCCCAAATGGTCATGGGTGGCAAATTCCGGATGAAGAGCTAATCATTACTTGGTCAACAAAGGCTCTAACACCAGACATCTTATTGCAATCTCTACACTGGATGTAAGCAAGGCAAGTGTGAAACAGAAGATGTTCCTGCCGTAAAAGTGATTTACTTTGTACTTATTTGTTAAAATCTGTAAATTGCAAGAATGTGGAAACAACTAGTGTTGAACTATCATTTGAGAACATCGTAGACATTGGTGATGATAAGGATAGCAACATTGATGACTTCCTTACAGATCCATTGGCGTTTTAAGATTCTTTTTCTTTCTCTTAATTAAACAATATTCATGCCATTTAATATACAGTATACAAAGGTGATAAATCATTAAAAATTACAAAAAATTGGAAATAACAATAGGTTGTATAATTTAATTACAGTACTTTTATTAAAATATTTAAAAAAATACAATAATGTAACGTAACTTAAAGAACTAAACGCATGAGAAGATAAGCAATTTTTAACCAGGAGATATAAAGCAAACTAAGGCACAGGAGTACGGAAAGCATTATTTATGTAAATATTTTTTAGACTCAATTTTTTATTGTATTTATGGCGTATTATAGAGAAAGGCGAAGAAGTTGATGATGAGGATAATTTAATTACGGTACCTTTATTAAAATATAGAAAATACAAAAATGTAATGCAACATAAAGAACTTTCTTAACACACGAGAACATAAGCAATTTTTAACCATCAGATGTAAAGCAAACGAAGACACAGGAGTATGAAAAGCATTATTTATGTAATTATTTGTTAGATTTATTTCTATAGTATTTATGAAGAAGTTGATGATGAGGATAATTTAATTACAGTACCTTTATTAAAATATAGAACATAAAGAATTTAACGCATGAGACCATAAGCAATTTTTAACCATTAGATGTAAAGCAAACTAAGACACAGGAGTACGGAAAGCATTATTTATGTAATTATTTGTTAGATTTATTTCTATTGTATTTATGGAATATTTTAAGTGTTGGTTGTAGAGAAAAACAAAGAAGGAAGATTAAAATTTATAAAATGTGTCAATAACGAAAGATAAAATTGAAAGATAAATTTAAGTAAGTTAAGTACTTTAACTACTAAATGTGACCATTATGTAATAAATGTTAATGAATCTGAAATGATACATTAAGTAACTACCTATATCATTGCTTTATGAATGATGGTTATTTGATGAAATAAAAGTGGAACAACCCCACAAAAGAGAAAAAGGAACTGTGTTTGCTGTAGGAATACTAATTATTGCAGCATGATTTTAATAGGACCGTACACCTCAGAACCGTATATACACGATTAAAAAAATACATATGTTTTCTTCATTTTTTGAAGTTTTGAAGTTTATTTTTTTAAGTCTTTTTTTTTTTTTTAATTTTTTATTAAGCGCTATTTACATAGCGCTTTGGCATATTACAGCAAAATTTAAACAATACACATCACAATCAAACATAAATGAAAACATACAGCGAAAAGTCGCACAGTTTCATTTTCAGGTCCCCCGTGGATGGTGCCAGGCATTTTAATTAAAGTTGTAAATGTAATTGAAGGCTTTTTTTAAATGAATCGAGTGTAGTTGATTTACGAATATGAATTGGTAGGTTATTCCATAGTTTGGGTCCGAAATTCTAGAAAGATCTATCTCCTGAGGTGGTAATAGTAAGTGGAACATAGAGCCTGGTAACATCAATGGAGGACCTAAGACCATTTCTACCTGGCACATGCCTTCTAAGGAAATCTTTGAGATACAACGGTGCGTTATTGTTTATACATTGATAAACCTGTACCATAGTCTTGAAAATTACACGCTTTTCGATAGGCAGCCACTCCAATTTTTGGAGAAGGGAAGTTGCACTAGTGCGCTTAGGCACCTCAAAAATCAGACGCACTGCCCGATTTTGCAACACTTGCATGGAATTTATATTCTCCTTAGATGTATAAGCCAATAGCGAATTGCAGAAGTCAAGTCGACTCAGCACCAATGATTGCAATGCAGTGGTACAGGTTTTCTGATCAATGTATATTCTAATACGCGCAATATTTCTTAAGTAAAAATTAACGGTTTGTTTTATTCTAGAAACATGCGAGTTCATGTTCATCAAAATTAACCCCTAAATTTGTTAACCTTAGATGGTATGATTGTGGCGCTCCCCACTTCAAGCTTCACATTAAGTAAACTGGCATCGAATCTAGGTGGTGAAAATACAATTAATTCAGTTTTTTCATCATTCAATTTTAACTTATTTACATGCATCCAGGAACGCAAATTATTGACACATTTGTTTAGTTTATCAATGGCTGAACTAACGTCATTGGGGGATTTCGGATTGCAACTTACGTAGATTTGGGTGTCGTCAGCGTACAGATGAAACAACACCAGCATCTCTTAGGATACTTGTGATTGGTTTCGTGTAAGCTGTAAACAGGGACGGACTAATAACCGATCCCTGAGGGACCCCAGATCTCAAATGAAATCTTTTAGATTTCGATCCCAAGACGGACACCTGACAGCCCCGATCATGAACATAAGACTGGAACCACCCAACAGCCTCTCATCAGAAATATGATATTCGTTTTTTAGACGTTCTAAAAGAATTACGTGATCAAGCGTATCAAACGCGGCGCTAAGGTCAAGCATTACAAGTAAAACAATTTTTTTCTTTTCTAACTCATCCAGTATATCGGTTTTAACTTTTAGAAGTGCCGTTTCTGTACTATGTCGGGGTTTATATGCAGATTGCAACTCCGCAACCATATTATTATGTTCCAGATGTTCTCTAAACTGATCATGTACTGGGTACTCAATGAGTTTACCCAGAGTAGGGAGATTGGAAACTGGTCTGTAATGTCCTAACACATTGGCATCTAGTCTTAATAAATAAATAATGATACCACGATCTCTATATCTGTTAGGAACTGTCTTTGCTGTACGAATCTAAACACTCGATGATTACAGTATATTTGGCACGATTTTATTGACCTCAGAACTTTGTAGGAGATTTAAAAAAACATTTTCTTTATTTTTTTAGGTTTTTAATTGTATTTTTGACGCTCTTAATAATTAAGTAACGATACGATAATCTGTAAATCTGTTGGGAACTGTCTTTACTGTTGAAATCCAAACACTCAATGATTACAGTACGATTAGCATGATC